TTTTATTTGCTATGTACCTGTAGAATCCCTTCCTGTTATCTTTAATACCTCTAGCTAAGTTTAATTCTAACTGGGCCTTAGCTTTCTTAACCTGGTCCCTAGCTTCTCGGACAACAAAGTTCTTTCTAACTGATGACAAAATTTGGAACAGAGAACTTGACTTGGAAAGGTAAGCTGGTGTCCTGGTTTAACCCCAGGTGTCAATTAAGCGCCACACAGCTGCTTATTCTTTCTGTCTTGGTGGGATGGGGAGAAGAATTGGAAGAGAAAAAGTAAGAAAATTTGTGGGTTGAAATAAAGACAGTTTAACAGGTATATCAAAAGTCATGCATGCAAGCAAAACAAAACAAGGAATTAATTCACCACTTCTAATGGGGAGGCAGGTGTTCAGCCATCTCCAGGAAAGCAGGGCTCTATCATACATAACAATTACGTGGGAAGACAAACACCATCATTCCAAACATCCTCCTCCAGTGTTCTTCTTACCCCAGCTTTATATACTGGGCATGACACCGTATGATATAGGATATCCCTTTGGTCAATTGGGGTCAGCTGTCCCAGCTGTGTCCTCTCCCAGCTTCTTGTGCACCCCCAGCCTACTTGCTGGTGGGATGGTGTGTGAAGCAAAAAAGGCCTTTTAAACTTACTGCTCAGCAGTAAGCAAGGTGTACCTGTGTTATCAACACTGTTTTCAACACAAATCCTGCCAAAACAAAGACAGCTGGCAGACTTGACAAGGTAACATGGGCATCTAGGTGAAAACTTTTTGTTGCAAACCACTGATCATTTAGCTAAATCTGTTCTTCCCAATTCTTTAACAATATGAAATATCAAGAAAGAAGCAAGCTTAAAACTAAGTGGCTGTTAATAAAAGTTAAATGGCCAAAATATAGCTGGAATACAGTATTTGTGCAGCATTAGGGTGTATTTTTTGTATTTGTGTAGTACTTAATAAAAATATAGTACACTCTTTTCCCAGTAGATGGCTTTAAAATTAAAGGTATTTCATTGTTTCATGATACTTGAATTGTTATCAATGAGAATTAAGTCTCAATAAAAATGTAAAAGGTGAAGAACAATACACATACCAATTATTTTGAGCTCATATTTGTTAATACTGATAGGCTGGAAACACCTTTCACATTTCTATGAGACCAACAGTATTACTACTTTTTATTATCCCATGTAATATAGGATCCATTTCTTCTAGGCGTTTCAAACTAAATTCCTTGTTGTTGATAATCAGCTCCTCCTCTTTTATTATTGAATGTTGTACTACAGTAGCATATTTATGCCAGAATGTGTTCAGTGCATGTTCTGTAGACTGGATTCAGCCTAAAACCAGTCTTGCAGAATAACTGTAAACCCTCAGATATATCTAAACCATATGGTGAGTGCAATGCAGATACCTGAAAAGGCAGCACTGAGAAGAATGTGTAATCCACATGGTGTTTTGTAGTGTTGTGCAGGATACACCAGCTTAAGATGGCAAGCATAGAACATATACTTTTTATGTTACTTTAATATTTTCTTTCCCAGAAAAAAAAAGAAAATAATGATGGGACCACCTCTGATTAGTGAGGCATGCATCTGAAAGCTGAGAAAAATAAACAGTTTGAAAGCAGAAGCAATTCATGGAATCACAGAACAGCCTAGGTTGGAAGTGACCTAAAAGGTTACCTGGGCCAACCTTTTGCTGGGGAAAAAGAAGCCTTGAGATTGCCTAGTACTCTGTCCAACTGTATCTTGAAAACCTCTGGTGACAGAACTTGTTAGGGAAGGAGGAAGACAAAGCACACCACATCCTTCTTTGTAGTAGCTAGTCCCATCTTAGCTGGAGTTGGGGCTGCCCATCTTCTCTCAAGCATTATCCCTGGGTCAGGCATCTTCACTGTCTCTCTACAGTGTCCATTTCATGAGCACTGTCTGAATTCTGCTTTTCTTCAGGGCAGCTACAGCCCTCCAGTGTTTTGTTCACACAGCTAGCCCTACAAAGGCAGCTGATCTATGTGCCCACACCTTCAATATGTTCACTTACTTTCTCATTACTCTCAGACCCCTATAGAACTTACCAAGTTTTGTAGTGGGTAGGTGTCAGATGAAAGCAATGGTAGGAGTTAATTGAACCTGTATGAAGATAACAGTATGGCTTATCTCCCTGCTATCAGTTTTAATAGCTTCTGTTGAATGAGGCCTCTGACAAGTGAGTTGAATCTGAATCTTTAAAAATTGTAGGTGATTTTAATACTATATAATTAAATTGGCTTTTAGTATAATACCAATAATAATAAATAGACTACTACCATTTTCCTCCAAAACCTCTACCAGATACTTAAAATACTTAAAAGTTTTCTTCTCCCCACCCCCCGGCTTTGAGAATGTAATCAGATTAATAACAGTGGAAGGAAGAATTCTTTGAGAATACTGTTCAAAATCAAAATCCTTACTCTATCAAGAATCTTTCACACTCTCTTTTTGATTCAGTTTTCAGTTAATGTATTTGACTTGAGGAGAAGTTTTTTTTATGCATGTGCCTATAATTATTTACTTGCTCTGAAAGTCTTTGTATACAGAAGAGCTGGGCAAAGGAAAGCTAATGAATTAGAAAAGAAATGGTTTAAGAACAAAAGGAGGAAGAAGAACACCTTATCTCTCTGAGCAGCAAGACAGGCAAGAAGGGGGAAAAAATGAGGTAAGGAAACTGGAGAATAAGAAGAATAAGCAGCAAACTATTTCGTTTGGAGACATTGCACACGTCTTCCAGCTGCAGAATGTGAAGCAAGATGTCAATAGCATAGCTGAAGGTTAAGGTAGGGCTTGAAGAAAATTGGGACACATGGAATCAATTGCATAGCTGTCACAGCAAAAATGTATTTGGTCCTGTGCCTAGAAATATCACAGCTGCTCCAAACACATGCACAGTGCTGTATAGCTTATGGCAATGGTTATACTAATTGACAATAGGTGGCAAATCCAGTTATTAACTGTAATGGAGTGGAATACAGTAGAACATAGGACAACTATTCTGCAAAATGGAAGACCAAAGTACTAATACTAGGATTTCATAGGAGATACTAAGATGCTAGTACAGTACTAAGATAATAGTAAATGGAACAAAATAGTGATTCATTATTACAGTCTCCCTTCAAGACTGCCCAGAAATCACCAGAGAAAATGCAAACAAAACAAACATAGTAAAGAACAAAATAATCAAATAGGCAGACATGGAAAAACCCATTTCCAGGGAACTTTTATCCAAATTCTTTCTTAAAGTATTGTCTCTTAAATCATGAAACATGGCACATAACCTCTCTTTTAAAACTTTTTAACTGTTAGTCTACCTAAGATTCCCAAGAATACAAAAAGTAGTATGTGCCAAGTCCTTCTTTGAATCTTGGTGAGGTCTTGACATCAGTGACATCCTGTGGCATTGAGTTCTATAATCTAATTATGTGCTGCATTAGAAAGTATGTCCTTTTATCAGATTTGGAACTGATGCTTTTCACTTTCACTTAGTGTCTTTTTGTTCTTGAATTACAAGATGCAGGACTACAGAAGCTCCTGATCTATTTTCTCTTTGCCACTTACCATTTTTATACTTTCATCATATCCCTCTTTATTCATCTTTTTTTTTAAGGTTAATAATTCTGTTTTTTTTTTCAGTCTTTTCATATGAAGGCTTCTCTATGAGCCTAATTATCGCAATCACTCTTCTCTGAATACCTTCTAATTCAGTAATATCCTTTTTGTGACGGGGTGACCAGTACTTCACACTGTTCCAGAGGAAAGAAAATTATTGATTCATATAATGACATTATATTTTCTTTCTTATTCCCCAACTCATTTCTTATGCATGTTAACATTTTACTTGCTTTTTTTGACTGCAGCCGCACATCAAGCAGGGCTTTTCATTGAGCTGTCTGCAGTGAGGCGTTTTTTCCTAAGGTGTTTCCAGGTGTTTTTTCCTAAGTTGGCACTTTTAATTAAGATCTATGGTAAAGGGAATGATTTTTTTACAGGCTGGTTTGGGGTGGTTTTTATTGTCATAGTTTTGTTTGGTTGGTTGGTTTGGTTTGTTTCTTCTCTCAGCAATGTGCATTACTTTGCATTTAAAAAAATGATTTTCACCTATTTTAAGGTGGCCCATCCATCTAGTTTGGTCACTTACGTCTTTCCTCTGAAGTTTCCTGTCTTCTTCAGACTTGATGAACAGATTTTTTTTTTTGAGTAATCAACAAATTTTGACACATTGCTGTTCACTTTGTTTTTTTCACATTAATTAATATATTTTAAACACCTGGTCCTTGTATGGTGCCTTGAAGCACCCTGCTGTTAACTTTTCACTATAATGAAAATTGACGATTTATTTGCATTTTTTTTACCTTCAAGAAGTTTTGTTTCATTTTGCATCCCATCCCAAAATGACTTATTCTCTGACTGCAGTGGAGACTGAGTCAGTCTCTTGAGAGGAACATTGTTCTTGCCACATTTATCCACTTACTCTAACAAGGTTAAGGGCTGGATAACCCCACAATTAAATCTAAATCTTCGAGAGACAACTCTGCTCTTTGTGACCAGAAGTATGGAAATTAAGAACAGATGATGGAAAAGTAGTTAATTCATTCAGTATGTTGGGCAGACGTATTCAAAATTAAGATGGGAGCAAGCTTTCAGCATAGCAGTTCTCAACACTGTCTTGGTGATAATCATAAACCCAGGAATATAATCAGTCTAAACAGACAGGATCATAAGAGTCTACTTCTTACACCTAAGATTTTCTGTGAAGATAAGGCTAAAAAGGAAACTAGTGGTAAAGTCTGGGCAGCTGTTAATTTTTCAGACTTCCTTTCAAAATCTGATATGAATCAAAGTATTTTAAGATCTGGAATCCCCAAAGTTCTTGTGGAAAAGGGGAAAGGCAAACTTATTTTGAGGCTTTGTATGTCCTGACATCCCCTAGGCCTGCTTATTTCCTGGTATCTCTCTTTCTTTCTCTCAAGTGTTCTCCATCCTCTCCCTGAGAGAGTCTGTCTGCTTCAACCCTGACTGCCTACAGTGCGCAACAGACTCCACCACCTTTCTTCACAAAGAAGATTGCTTGCACAGAAAAAGGCTCCTCCAACTGCTTGGGACACCTTGCACAGATGTATACCCCTGCCTTGAACTCAGAATGGACACTAAAAGAGATCCTGAATATATTGGTGGAAATGTGAGCAGTCACCTGCAACTTAGACACTATCTGTTTGGTAAAGGAACTAAAAGGACAACTTGAACTTCTTGTGATACTGACAAAGTTTTATCTGAAGGAAATACAGTACTTTCCATACCATAGTCCACCTAACCCTAAACCAAACTATTCTGGGTGGAATAGAGGTTGAAAACAGGTATCAAGTCTTTCTTTTTTGAATGTGCTTATCAAAATGCTAGTAAATCCTCTACAACTAATACTGGAGCCTAATAAAATTTGAGGGCAGAACATGGAATCTAACCTATGTCTATCTGTGGACCAATTATACATACATATAGTCATGTACACATATATTTCTGTCTGTCTATATGACTATATATACTATATATATTCTTATTTCTTGAGCAAGCTATTTTGATATAGTCACATATAGGGGGCTGAATTATGACAATGAAACTTGCCATAGTAACCTTTTTTTCACCCATATCAACACAAAAATTATCAGTATTATAATAATAGCACAATCAAAAATATAAGCAGAGTTTCTTATTTAAAGAAAGAATGGGAAGAAAACTTGGTGCTTTTCACTGAATTTTAGAAGGTTCTAAAATACCACATTGCTCGTGCAGCATAAGAAAGTGACAGGGATAAAACATAAATTGTAAAGTCCCACCTATTAATCAACATAATGTTATATTAATAACGCTTTTGCATCAAATATAAGAACAGAAACTGTACTGTGTTCTACTTAGTAAATTTAGAGGAGAAGAAACACGTATACCAAAAATATGAGCTCACTGAAGTGAACAATTCAAAGCTGAATGCTTTTCAAAATATATTTGCAAAATAAGCAGCAACCTAATAAAACGTTACGTGTGTAGAGTTTGCCAGCGGAATCTAAGAAGATGCCTTAGCATTAAGTGATTGAAGGCTGAGTTTTCCAGAAACAATGCATGTAGAAAAGAGTAAGAATACTGTGCCTGCTGCTGGCTTCATACCAAAACTATCCATGCTTTGCATTTGCTGTGGGTCAATATACCTCTTGAATGTGTGTGTATTCAGATAATATTAGAAGATAAATACATACCTTTTTAATGGTGCATTGCCATTTGGGAGAATATCAGAGAATACTTATCAACATCTCTAGGATGTTGTCATTCATTAAATGAAACCTGTAGCCCACTTTATTTCATGTAAACCCACCATGATAAAATGTATCAATAAAAAAGAATTAAAATGCTGTCTGAAATAAATCTGTATCCTCATAATATTCGAGTGTAGAATTGGCATATTTTTTCACAAGATTTTTTTTTTCTGTCTTCTTCTCTAGAACATATATAAAAAATTAATATGAATATAGAATAGATTTATCAGTGCTTTACAGGTGGGCTTCTATGTTCTCTGCTTCCCTTAAAACACTGTGCATCCACCTGTGTTCCCCAGACACATTGGAACCCATAAGAGATGCTGCATTTTTCAATGAAATGTTTTAATAACTTCCCTCCCTCCACCCTCTTAGTCTCTGTTAATGAATTCTTCTTGGGGAACAGTATCACTGGTAATAATTTTAATGTACAGGATACTAAGTGAAGTAACACAGTTGAAATAAGCTGTGAAGGATTATATTGGCTAATATACCTATTTGTTTGGAACGTGCTATTTCATATCCTCAAATCTGTGAAAAGAAGCCCATCATGAGAGTTTCTGTAACTATTGGGAGCAGGCTTGGGTGATGTTTTAGTACCTCTGCATTTCATCAAAATCATAATGATTTTTTCTTTACACTAAGCAAACTAATAGGATTATAATGCACAAAAGGCAACCTTTCTGAATTTTAGCTGCTTTTCTTTTTTTTGCCCCACTCCCTCCCCCCTCCCTAAGATTCATAGCCGTAAAGAAGCTTCTGTGTAAGAAAGAGCCTTACTCAGCTATCCTATCCTTAACCAAGAACTGGGACAATGTATTGTTGCTGCCCTTACTGCGGATTTTCCACATATTTACAATCATAGAGATATAAACATGCAGTTGTTCTATTCAATTCTTACAAATTCACTTGAAGGTAAAAATTGTATCACTAGAAGTCAATAGGATTTTTCTTTTTACTTCAGTGGAACTCAGATTTCATCCAAATATGACAGATAGATATAGTTGAAAAGCTGTTTTTTTATGAACACTCTCCTATCACTTGTGATTTCACTTTTTTTTTTTTGTGATGGCACTCTGTTTTTCAAAGACATTGACTTTTTCCTGACACTTTTAATTATGCTTGTCTGTGTAAGACAAACTGTGATCCTCAAACCATCCAGTGAAAATTCTCAAAGCAGAGTAATGTATGGTTTCCAGAAGGAAACAACTGAAAAAGCTAAAGCTAGATGGACAGATACATTAATTATTTTATTAACTTCAAGTATTTTTTTTCCATGCCAATTCCACTTTCAGAAATGGAGAATCTATCAAATCAAGTATTTGACAGGTAATGTACAAAATATCATGCCATTTATCTGTCAGAGAAGAAAATACTCTCCTGACTGAATCTTACTAAAAGATACTTCTTTGTCTTCATACTTACACAGATTTCACAAGATACTTAAGCCTTGACTATGCACAAGATGTGCATACACTATTAATCCGTATTATTATATTAGTGTATTGTTAGCAACATGTGAACATCAGCCGGTGTTAATGTTGTCCACCCCTAGAGTAGATTGCCTTTGTAAACATAAATAACAGAGTGCTTCCTTTAAATTTTTCAAATTGATATGGACCCAGGGCTGAATTAGAGGAAATATAAGCTTTTCCTGTTAAAATTAAACATAGTGTTGTAAATTCTTATGATATATTCCAAAACTCTTACTGACCATTCATTGTGAAAGCATATCAAAAAAGAGTACATTAAAATTCAAGATGTTCTAGTTTGAAGTATTAAAAGTATTTATATTTTTAGTTTTGTAAGAAGGATGCTGCCCTATGAATACCATCTTTATTTTTGAGATGTCTTGTGTAACTTCACAGAAGTTAACTGCCTTTTTATTTAATAGCAATGGTAATTGTCATCGCTTCACTCTCTAATTTGGTTTTCACTGTTCATCTGGTTTTTGTTGAATTTTAGTTCTCACTGATTTTGAATAGTGAAATCAGACTGCCTTTTAACTTTTAGGTTCCAGTTCATATTCCATTGAGCACGTGTAACACAGTGCCACTCATGCAATAGCAAGTTAGGGCTACAGAAGCAGGGAGGGAGAGAATAACCCAAAATAGCAAATTAATGGAGTTGTACTGTCTTTTTCCTTAAAAAATATAAAAAATATATTCATTCAGTTAACATCTTTCATAATGTCAAATATTCAAGGTACTGGAAATTTTTGTCCCAGACTTAATTTAGGAAATCAATTTAAAGATTTAGAGTACAGCCAGAATAGTATCAATATTGCATCTTAGCTTGCTATTGCACAGTATCTATTTTTCTCACCAAAAGAAAAACAAACAAATACACCCACAAGCCTGAAAAACTGTAGTACATAGTTCTACAGTACTTAATTTACAAAAGGAATGACTGGTAAAGAAACATTTTAATCCTTTGCCTGTCAAAGAAGAATTTTAATGAAGTAGTAGATAGTTTGTGTGCAAACTTCTCTGAACTGCCTTGTAATTTTTAGCCAAATTTTTGAAGTTTGTCCATAACATAAGAAATGTGAGGTTTAAAATAGGGTATGTTATATAAGTTCTTCCCACCTCCCAGGAAATGGTAAATCCAAGTACGTAGCTGTATTATAACTGTCAGACTGTATGCCTTTATGCAGATACAATTTAAAATACTTTTACTTAAATCCTCTTGGTCAGATCTGCCATCTTTCCATACCCTTGCAGTTCTCTCTATATGGTCAATTCCTAGTAATTACGGTAGTAGACAGCAGATCTGATTAGGAAAAAAAAAACAAACTAATACTGTGTTCAGTAAATCTTAGTCCACTAATTTTAATTAAACTTTTGATAAATAGCATTAATAGCAATTGTTAGATGTACCTTTTTTTTTTTTTGTAAGTTTAAAGACACATGGCTAGAAATGCCTTATTTCTTTCAAAAGCATTCTTTGTGTGTCTATGTTAGCTAAATATTTTCCTGTACACTTTATATGATATCATCTACGAGACCACCAACATGTCTCCTTTTAATGAATGTTTTAATGTAATACCATAGTCTTTTCCCTACCACTAGTACACAGCACACTGCTTTTTTAGTCTGTGGACAGTCCATATTCAATTATACATTGTTTTTATCTTGCCTCTGTAAGTTTTGTCTAAATTACATTGTCCTTATTTTGCAACTCAGGTAGAAAAAACAATTTTTTTTTCCTATTCTGTCTCTCATCACCTTATTACATTTAACATTCTTTAACTAAATGAATTGATATATATGTTGATCACAAGCCTTTTTTTATGTCTTGGTTGAAGGGGAGGCTTTCAGAAGCTGGTCTTGAATACCTGACTTGCTGCTCTCAATATGCTGAATTAGGATACGTAATTTATGGCTGACTTAATTAGTTATCATATGTGGAAACAAACTGTTTTAACATTAAAGCTTGATATAAAAGAATTTAGTAGTTCTTAGATCCTTAATTTGTGTGAGAGATGATAAACTAAACAAAACTGAGGATGTACCAGGAAATCATTCGGCCATTTACAGTATAAGCTTTTCTGTGTCCCAGGAGATCAAAAGAAAAGTATGAGTGGAGCACTTACTTGCATCTCATCTTGAGACTTACCAAAGTAGTTGTCTGTGGAAGATTGTTTAGCCAGTCAACAATCCAGTGTTAACAAAATGTATGATCTTTGTCCCCTTGGTAACAGTTGTGTTTAGCACAACAGAAAACGTGTTGCTCTAATCATTGCTCTAATTGGCACCTTTGTTGACAGTCTCAGAAGAAAGGTCAAGATGGTTAGGCATTGGACTGATCTACTGCCTTACTCACAGCTGCAGCCTCCTTGGCTGAATGCTGCAATTTTTTGAGCGGCCATGTGCTCTTAAAATTCTACTAATGTTTTAGAAAATTCCATGGGTAAATACCATATTCATTTAATCTTTTTATTTTCTTTTTTTTTCTCTTATGCTTTTCTTCAGATAGTGTCCTTACTGTGATAAATCTAGGTGAGGAAAAAGGAAAGCGAGGTGCTATGCTAGTGAGAAAATATATGCAACCCAAACACTTCATAAAATCACTTACTGTTGACAAGCAGGGTTTTATACAGTGGAATATTAACACCACCTAGGCAAAGCTACTTTGGGTATTTGAAGAAAGTACATATTAGAACACCTAAGTTTAAAAATGTCTATTCCATATATAGTCATATTCTATGAGGTAGACACTCCTAGAGGGTGATTCAGAGCCCTAAATTAGTTGACTAAAGTTAGACAGTGTGAATACCTCCCACAGTAGCAATATGTTGCGGAGGGACAGAAAGGAGACGAGTGAAAGGAGAAAGGGAGGAGCAGAGTGATAAGGACTATAAATTAAGTAAGTCTATAGTGAACTTTAGAAACTGTTAGAAATAATTTTTTTTGACAAAAGGGAGATCAGTTTGCTTGGTATAGCACATACTCCAAACTGAGTAGCATCTTCACAGGTAACAGCAATAATAGTGTGTGACACCTTCAACTGTGATTTTCCATGCATACATTTATTATGTCTGTACTACAGTTGTTTCTGGAGTCCCCAATCAATAGTGGAGGACTAAAGTACATATATAAATATTTCCCGCTTCAAAGAGTTTATAAGAAAAATAGTATTCATGGTTGAAGAACAGGAAGGCAAAAGGGTGAAAGAAGAGTGAAATTACCTCCCCAAAGTCACCAAGGATAGTAATTCTTATTATAGCATGGACTGTAATTTATAACCCCCATGATTTCTGCGTGTCAAAGCATTCATAATGCACACAACTTTTGGGAATTCATTTGTTCAAAAAATGTTTGCTAAAACTAATATGCGAGTCATAGGTCGCAGATTCAGGGGTTCCATTTTTAAGTACTGATAGTACAGACAGTCTGATGACAGCCTGTGTCTAGTGAATACTCTTTCAGAATTACACTTTACTGGAGTAGAGCAATAAATTCTTAACAGTATGTGGATATCCTAAGTTACATAGTATTTTAGATTTCGGTTTAGATTTGGCCTGGACCAACTGTCGTAGAGATAATCGTACTATATATATTATATTGTGGATGTAATCAAGTGTCCTATGCTTGGTATTATAAGTCTGTTTGATCTTATTGGAT